GAGCTGAAGTCGGACGCTCAACTGACTGAGCCACCCAGGCTCCCTTCGATTATATTTAATAAACATCAACATGAGATCATATCCTGGTAAGTTATATATATATATATATATATATGTTTTTTAAAAAGCAAAATAACAAATAAATTTTCCTAGATACTTACAGTTCCAGGGCGAGGATACGGAATTCTACCCTGATAGGAGATCAGCTGATGATTGGGCCCTTCTTTATGGGCAAAAGGCCCATTAAACACAGTCTGTATATCAGATAAATGATACACACACACTGCTGATCCTTTAAAAACTGAGCTAAAAAAAGAAACAGAAAGAGATCCATTTTCTTATTTTTTTTAACTTCTAAATACAATTTAAAAAAACAGATGGCAAGGTTTGTGATGAAGAGTTGATAATTCATCATGGAAAAGTTGAACATTACAGTACACACTGTAAAGCTAAAAAATCTTCTCTCCTATTTTGAAATAAGCCATTGGTACACAAAGCATTAAAACATTTAATCCATTTCATGGAGGCAGTAGACAAAGTAAGTTATAGAAGAGTTCTCAATGTTTCCAAAATATAGGACAAGTCAAAGAGTTTCTAACTAGTTTATCTTAACAACAAAAAATAAATTCATGATTTATTCAAAAATATGAATTTGAATTCTAAGTCACTATCAATAAAATCTATCATAATTTAACTGAAAGAAATAAATCTCATTAAGAGAAAACTGTATTTCTTGGTCTTAAGATTATTTTAACGTGAGAATGTTCTCACATTTATCCTAAAGAGTAGTCATAGAAGTCTAAGTTGTCATAATTTATGTATTTTCCTTGTTAATGACAAAAAAAAAAGAAAAACAAAAACAGTAAAGTCCAAAAAAAGTTCGTTACATTAACGCCAATATAATCTCAGAGAATGTGTTTGGATCCTTACTAAAAACTATTTCTGTTGTCACTAAGGCAGATTGACTGAAAAAAACATTTCTCTGACTTACATATATCTCTTAAATTAGATGCCTAAGGGAAAACTTAGATGCCCATTGAAAAAAACAAGATATGTTATTAATCATTAGCACTGCTGCTCAGAAATGACAATTATGAATTTTTCAAAAGACTATTGGTGTTGGGGAAAACAAAAACTGTAGAAATTTTTTTTTGAAACAAACATTTTCTTCTGAAGAATTTGGTTCTTTTCACTTTGTTCACTTATTTCTGAGTTAACTCAAGACCACTTTCTCTTTTAGAACACGAGTTAAACTGTTCATCCTGTAGGACATATTTTTACATATTTTATAGGGCAAATGTAAATATGACATATAATCAATATCTTTGTGATTTTATTTTTCCTTGAATGGACCATTACAGTTTACAATTATGCTGTGCTTGCCCTGCTAAAGAAGAATGCTAAAATCTTCAAATTTTTGTTTTTTGGTTGGTTTTCTAATAAAAGGCACAGATTACATTCTGCATTGGCCCTGCTATCGCTCGGGTACTGTGCTGCCTTCTGAGTAACATTCTCAGTGTAAAATAATTAAACACAAATATATCTAGGAAAAGGTGAGAAGACGGCAAGTTGTCTTAAAATATATGAAAATTAGAATTGGACATCCCAGAGAAGTTAGAAGACATTAAACCTATTTTCCAGTATATGAAATACTGCCATATGGGACATGGAAACTAGTGCACTATTTTATTAGTTTCCAGTCATCATTTTAGATTGCTCCGGAAGTAAAACTTATTTTAGTAGAAATACCAAAAGTTTTAGGTGAATCATGGATCTTCAAACTACTTCCTTAAAACAAAATATCTTATATACTTTATTCCTACATTATAATTCATATTTTCTTTTCTTTGAGAAAAATAGAATATAATCATTATAAATACTCTGTATAAAACCATTTTGAAAGTATTAGTTCAGCTTGAATATATTTTGGTCACCAGGCAAAAGTAATAAAACGGGATGGTTATATCCTGAATGCTTTGTAAAATTAAAAACTGAAAACAATGTTTTGTAATAATTACTGTCATTTAGTGAAGTTTATTGTTTAATACATAAGCTGTAATTGTTTAATAATTACCTTGATGTTGTAAAAATGCCATACACTAGTGTTGTCCTTGGGTTATCAGTTTCCAGCAGAAACACATCCTCTATAAAAACAAAATATCATTCTTTTAAAGTTACCAAATATTAACCATATTTAAAAAAATTTACCCCAAGAAAATAATTTCAACTATGAAAAATACTATCAAGAAGCATATTCTGGCAGTATCATTATAATCTGGAAACAACTAAGTGAATCCAATGATAGGCACGTGGTAAAGTGAATTAAATGAAATATCATACAAACACTATAGGGATGTATATAGACTGCAACCTTATGGAAACCATGCTAGTGAAGTAATATTAAGTGGAAAAGGTATAGTAGTATGTAATCTAGACTAGAATCATGTGAAAATTGTACAACTATATAACAGATTACAATAAGATTACCAGTGAGTATTTCTGGTTAGCAGAGCTATATTTTCCTATCTTCTTTTGTATGCATTTTCTAAATATCCTTTAAAGATAACATAATAGTTTTTTAAATTTAAAAAAGTATTACGTTCACAGTTTCTTTTTGACATAGGGTTGGAAGCTGGAATGTGGAAGAAAACTCAAAGCGACTTTTTTCCTTATATAAAAGAAGACTGTTTTCGCTTATGATTAAAATTGCTAGTGACATTTTTACTTAATTGATAATTTGCCTAATAACAAAAAGTTTGAAGTATATTAAGGCAAAGACAAAGGTACAGATAGTAAGGCTCAGTACCACAGAACAGAACCTGGAAGTAGATTTCTGATAGGAAACCTCAGTGAATAATCAATTGTCACAATTACAAGAAAGGTCTGAATTTAGTAACATTTTTTGCAAATAAGATTCTTGCTGGGAAATACAAAAAAAAAGATGTAACCCATTTTTATTGCTTACCTCTCAGATGATGAGGTAAAAAAAAATCTGAGAATAGCCAGTAGTTTACATTTTAATGGGTTAAAGCAAAATAAATGTCATTTCTAAATGGCACTTAGTAAACACTTAGTAAACAAATGGCACTTAGTAAACACTTAGTAAACAAATGGTACTAAGTAAACTTAGTACACACTATGATGTGTATCAAGTTATTCTGATTAAAAAGAGAACTGTTTCTTGGTAGAAAGGAATCAGATCATTAGTTCTTATTTGACCTGGTATAAATCTACTTATGTCACACATCCTGAAAGTCATTCATCTCAGGGTCATCCAAGAAGGGTTGATTAGAGTACAAATTTAATTTCCACCCTGAAACTTTCCCATCCAACCTTGATTTTGCTAATTAGCTATTAATAGTAAAAATATTTAGCTGTATTTGCATACAAACTGATTTCAAATTAGAATATTAGAATTTAAATGCACATGAAATACACATTCTTTTAGAAAAACACAAATAGGGGCGCCTGGGTGGCTCAGTTGGTTGAGCGTCCAACTTTGGCCCGGGTCATGATCTCGCGGCTTGTGGGTTCGAGCCCCGCATCAGGCTCTGTGCTGGCAGCTCAGAGCCTGGAGCCTACTTCGGATTCTGTCTCCCTCTCTCTCTGCCCCTCCCTGGCTCACACTCTGTCTGTCTACCTCTCTCTCAAAATTAAAAACATTAAAAAAAAATTTAGAAAAGCACACATATATCATTACTCATTTGTCAATTACACAAGCACCTCTCTTTCTGTCTCTGTCATACACAGACACACACGCTCATTCACATATCTTGGGTAATTCAGTGAAGTAAATGTTTCAGTAGTGCACTCAGGGGCAAAACAGATTTAAAAAGTACTTAAAGAAATTTATGAACAGTAAACAGATCATTCATTCAAATTGGCACATGATTTATGCTGAGAACATTCACGGAATATACATCCTCTGCTGAGAGGTTATTAAAATATATAAACTTTACAAACTCTTTTTCAAAAACGTTTTTCAATCTCAAATCCATGTACCTAATTCATCAAAGTATGTTTCCGGGCCATCTTCATCGGTTACAGAGCACACCAGCCTCGCTTTTAAGAAGGTCGTCCACTTGTTGACAAGGCTACGCAGACCTCCAGTGTCATTCTGAAACCATTTTGAAAACACATTTCAGATGGCTTAAATAAATACTAAAGTGTATTAAAAATTCATCTTAGATTTGTATATCTTGGGGAGTTGTTATAATCCGAAGCATGCAAATGTTAACTATATCTGCATATCAAAAAAAGAGGAATATTTAAGATTTATAGTGCTTTATAAAATAGCTATAGCTATGCAATGAATTTTCTCCAATATGGTATCAACTGAAAATGTTTCAAAGAGGAGTTTAATAAATATATGCCCTAAAGCTTTCTAAATTTAACAATGTATGATGAAATACCTTTGAAATGTTATGGAGAACATATAATTTAATTTGCCTTTTCTTGATAACTCATTGTCTTCAATATGAACATAAATTATTGTATGCAGTGAAGATTATAGATGCTACTGTGGTCAGGAAAGTATGTTTATACTTCTACCAAATGGTCTCCAATAGTCTATTTTCTCTCCTTCACTTCTCTGTGTCAGCATTTAGTCCTCAGTATTTCCAATCAAATGCTTTAGTATACACATTTCTCTGGCGAGGGCACGAAAAGTGGTGTTTGGATCATTCACATACAGCCTCTACTGATTGTTTTCTGTATGTCCAGAAGCCTTTCATCCCTTCTGCTGCCTTTACTGCCTGAGGAGCAGATGACCTCCACAATCAGTGGAACACTGTAATATCTAAAAATAATGATTTTAAATACTAAACACTTGAAGAAACACTTTTGCACAAAATATGCTAATCATAAATCAGTCAAGGAAAACCTGTAAAAATCTTATACGAGAGGGCATCATGAGCTTTTTTTGAGTTGCTCCGTACACTTGCTGTTTATACACAAGACCATTTTGTTCACTGCTTTTAACTAGAACTGTATTTTATTAATGCATTTCTTAATTTTCACTGTTGTAAATAGTTCCCCAACAATTGTCCTTACTGAGGTTTTGCTGTATTTTATTCACAAGAATTATTCTGTTTCTGTGATGTATAGTTTAGCTATTTGTTTTTAATACAAATGTATTAAATGGATTAATGCATTAAGTGGAAAAGCAAAAATTAAATGAAACTTCTCATTTGTATAAGACCATGACCAAAATATTTCTTTGAATTAAGCTTTTTTATTTATCTCATATGACCGATGTGAATAAACATTAAATTAAAATGTCTTCTCTCAGGGCACTGGGGTGATTCAGTCAGTTAAGTGTCTGACTTAATTTCAGCTCAGGTCATAATCTCACAGTTCGTGGGATTGAGCCCCATGTGAGGCTCTGTGCTGACATCCTGGAGCCTGCTTAAAATTCTCTCTTTCCTCTCTCTCTGTCCTTCCTCCACTTGTGCATGCTGTCTCTCTCTCTCTCTCTCTCTCTCTCTCAAAATAAATAAATAAACATTAAAAAAAATCTTTAAAGTGTCTCCTCTCAATATTGAGTTAATTTGTAACAGTAGATGAAAGTAGGAAAATAAACTATTAGCAAAAGAAAATACATTTATACAATTTGAATTTGTGAGTCTTTGTTCAAATTAGGACAGGATTAATACTTACAGGACATATTCTAGCAATCATGGAATGAATCTGTTTTGTGCTTCTGCTATTGTCGGTCAGTTTCTCTTTGAAGAAGAAGTACACCTTAGCATCATTTGGATCTGTGCCATCTGGGATGACATGTGCATCCACAAACATAGGTTCTGGAAAAAAAAAAAAAAACAAAGACTATATATATATATACTCATGATGGAAATCTATCTACCGTCCACCCAAGTAAACCACAGGCACATGCCTTCTCCATCCTTGGTACAGAAGAACAATTCAGTGTTCATAGGCACAAAGTCTATGAGCAGTAATTGTATTCACACAACATATTGTATTTGGAATGTCAAGTGCCACAAAATATATCTATAATATAACAGCTTCAACTACTTTTCCTGGGGGGCGCTGGGTGGCTCACTCGATTGAGTGTCAGACTTCAGCTCAGCTCATGATCTCCAGTTCGTGGGTTCAGACCCTGCATGAGGCTCTTTGCTGACAATTCAGAGCCTGGAGCCTGCTTCGAATAGTTTCCCTGTCTCTCTGCCCCTCCCCCCTGATGCTTTTTCTCTCTGTCTCTCTCTCCCTCAAATAGAAATAAGCATTTAAAAAAAAACCTATTTTTCCCTATCCACAATACATTCTAGAAGTTCAATAAATGCAAAAATTCTTTGGGCAATGATGAGTTCTAAAAAACTAAAAACGTTTCTACCAGTTATTTCCCATGGAATATAATGGCCATTTTACGGAAAAAAAGTTTGTTTTTCAAAGTATAGTTTTCAATCTAGTGCATATAATATAAACTCAAATTCACTGAAGCAGAATGAGTAGGGAGTCCAAGATCTGAAAAACACATTTTTTTTTTTTCTTAAAATACAGCATATGAAATGAAGGGGAAATTTTTCAAGGAAAAAATGCAGTCATTTGAAGACATAGAGGGATTCCTTATTTCAAGAACAAAAGAAGTTTTAGAATACTCTATTTCCAGATGTACTAGTGTCATAAATTGAAGAAGTAAATGGACAATCAATGCTTTCTTGTGCCTGTCCATCAGTGAAATAAGATGCTTAAGTGTGGTCATTCATGCTTTGCTATGCAATGTTAAGTGGATTGCCAAATTTAGGGTCAGCTAGAAATCTTCCCCAGGGAGAAATGACAAAGTTCTTAGTGGTTTCTGCCTCCTCTAAACAACAGCAACTGACTGAAATTGTACATTTCAAATGTCAAATGAATATCTTTCATGATGTGAAATTCATGTGACACCCCCAAAATTGGAAACAACTGAATGCTTATAATCATAAAGTTATCATACCTATGATTTCTATTAAGTACTAAATAAAGTATAAAAAATATATATACCAGTTTTATAAGTTAATAATCTAAATATAAAACAAATAGGAGGAGTTATTGAAAATATTTTAATCATTATATCTATCATAAGTTTAGGAAATTTTTTAGATTTGACATTAAAATATTCAAGCATGATCTCGCAGTTCATGGGTTCGAGCCCTGCACTGGGCTCTGTGCTGCCAGCTCAGAGTCTGGAGCCTGCTCTGGATTCCGTGTCTCTCTCTCTCTCTGCTCCTCCCGCACTCATGCTCTCTCTCTCTCTCTCTCTCTTAAGAATAAATAAACATTAAACAAATAATAAAATAAAATATTCAAGCAGACTATATGAGTAAAATAGCATATTTATGTGATATATAATTGGAGAAGATTCTTAAATGTGAGCCTGTATGATAAGTATCTCTGTCATTTTTATTTATTAATACATCTTATGACAATTGTATGATGGTTAATAAAACGTTAGAATATGAACTATGGACTACTTCGATTATTTATTTATCCTAAATATTAAAAATAATAAAGTACAGAATTGTGACTTACATCATGGCTTTCTAAACAATTTTAACCTTTCTTCATTAGAGAATAAAATAGTTTAAAGGATGATTCTAAAAAATGCACAAAATGTTTCTTACCACTGAGCCATTTGGAATTGTGTTGATCAGTTCTGACTGCATTCCTCTTCGTTAAACTTCGAAAAATAGCAGCATCTGTGCCCATGAAATCTATATACATTCCAGAGAAAAGCTCCTCATCTATGACGAAGAAAATGTCAACACAATTTTAAATCTTTTTTAGAAATCAAGAACTTGATTATTAGATGATCACACAAATTATAGTGTTTATAATTGTCGTTTTTCATTGTCCATCACCTAAAAACATTGGATAAAATGTAATCTGATGTCATTATTGCCTGTGAGTTTACTAAAACAACTTTATTTGTTATAGAAATAAAAATTCTTCTGCCTGCACTTAATTATACTAAATACATATGTTTATATAGTATGTATCAAAAATGGTGGAAATAATATATGTGTTAAAGATAATAAAATAGCTTAATTATTACTTTCATTTAATAAATAAATAAAAACTACTATAAGAGAGAACTCAGTTTCTAATTTTGGCAGTAATTAACCAAGTGGGAATTAGGGCTAAGTCATTTAACACCTGAATCTCTATCTTGTCATCTGTAAAATACAGGAATTGGCTTATGATTTCAAAAGTTTTCACCATATTAAGAATTCCATGATTTCACCAAACAGATTGAAGATATTAGTTTTTATTGTCAAAATATTATTAATGGTAAAATTATCTTACGATTAAAAGTATATGTTTTAATTTTTATGCTATAAGGTTTCTATAAGGTAAATAAAGTGCTACTTTTTCAATTGTAACACACAATTTATTAACATTATGCTAAAAATATAATATTATGTTAATAACACACATATGGTTTGACATATGAAACCGTAAAAAATAGAATACAGAGATAAAAAAATATATTTTAAAATTAAATTACCATCATTAATGGAAAAAAATCAGATATTTTAATCTATATTTGCACAACATGAGACATTGAGCTTATTTGTTAAGGTCCATATTAATTTTTGCCTATTAAGGAGAGTAAGCATTGAACTGGTATGTGCGACCCTAGAGTAAAAAATAGTAGTTAAATGTCTATTTAAAAAAGAATAAAAGTTATCAGGTCTGATCCAGGGAAAAACCATGCAGTTTTTTTCTTTGACTGATGTTCTAGAATCAGTCTGGCTACCTTCAGATCATGGTCCTTTTGGCAGGACTGTAGCATTTTGAAGCACTCCAGTCTCACTCCTTAGTAATAAGCAGTACCAGCTAACCGAGGACAGAATGGAGAATGAAATGTTTTTAATCTCCAATATGATCTCATCAGGTCATGAACTGGACCCCTACCAGTGAGCGAGTGGGTATGGCAGGCATTATGTTGCCCAGTTCTGCTTCCTAGTAGGGGTCTGAGGTCCGTGGGAACAGATTATAGGGAGATAACAAAAATGTCCATGAAAGCATTTTGAGCAATTTAGCTTCAAAATTCTGCGAACATTTGTGAAGCATCTACACAAGTATTCTGTAGATACAATGGTTGTGACAATTAAAATAATTTTGCAATTAATTATTTCACATTCTTTTTATACCTGATACCCCCAAATGGTAGGTTATAAATTTCTGCTATTCAGTGGATTGATTAACACAGCTGTCAATTATCGGATCTGCTTCCAGGAAGAAAAGGAAAAAGGACACTCAGAGGATGATGTATGGCAGAGAGGGCTGAGTCTAATCTTATTGCATACCACTTATTAATTCTGTCTTAGCTATTACAAAAGCTTACCAGTCTAATTGGCTTCATAACCTGTCTTAAATTCTCAGTAATTTCAACAGCAAATCAGGAATAATGAAGTTTCTGCTTTATTTTGTATAAGAAATAATCAATGCCACTTTAAAAAGAATTCTGAATAGGGATTTTTTTTTCAGAATGTTTGTGGAGGATTTATGCAAAGATAAACTTGTGCTTTCTAACGTTAATCCGAAAATACTTTGCTTTCGAATTTTACTTCCACTGACCAGAAAAACCTCAATAGGGTCTTCATAGGTTCTTTAAGAAATGTCATCTGACTTCTTATTGTGATACAACGATGGCATGAGAAAATAGCAAAAAGCACTAAACTCGCACACTGGGTTAGATGCCACAACTATGTTATGAAATTTGGAATTCTCCAATTCTTGATGCTTCTTGGCACTTTAACAGATAGAAACACTTTAAACATTCTGTGTTATTTAGTACCTTGCAATCCAACAGACATGATAAAGCCCCAAATGCCAAAATGAGATGACTACGCAAATTGACTGTGTAATACTGGAGATAATATTGGAGAGAATGTTAGAGGGATAATCAATAGAACAAGTAAAATGACAAATGCAAGCTAATAAAACTTCTTTCCCCTTTTAGTTTCAGTTTTTAAGGTAAGCAAATAGTTTAATGACTCTTGGATAGTTCAAGTTCTAATGTTAATCAAAATATTGAAAGGTAGTAAAGGAACATAAGCATAGGAATTGAAGTCTTGGATCCTTAGTATATGAAAGTCAATAACTAATTTTGTAAACAAATCCAATTCTCTAAGGACAAAACTATTAAATGACTTAACAAGTTTAACAGGAATATTTATAGCGCCCAGTTTTAAGCCTTTTTTGTTCCAAATGATATTTGATGAGTATAATTGTTAACACAACTTTGAATTTTATTTTCATAGCATTTAACTTGAAGTAAGTAAAAACTCTACATATTTATCTAGTATTACGTAGCATACCATTTTGATAGGTGAATACAATTTTCTTCCTAATGAAAAGACTTTCCATGCACTGACTCTATTAAATAATATTTAGAAGCTTATCTGAAAAGTCCCTGCATCAGACATAATTGGGTATGTTGTGACTTCAAAGCTTTATACTTCTTGGTCCCACTGATAGACTTTCATCTCCTCCCTGCCCAATCTGAATAATCATAGGAAAGAATTCACTGGATAACCTCCAAGTTTACATTTTAGTCAGTGCTAGATGTACCTGTCTTAATTTAGTTTCCAAATATGAGAAAGATGAGTTGCTACATTAAATGAATAAAAGCAAAGTGTTCTGAAAACAATAATCACCTTTCCACCTGTTCCATTGTCAAGTAATGCAATTTATCACCAGCAACACATAAGAAAGCAAAGGGTAAAAGCATCTACTGTCCATTCAACACTGAAATCCCAGATTTGTCCCCACAGGCAGCACATGTTAAGTCAGGCATATTCTGGAAGTGTCTTAATTAACCAGAAGAGAATGCCTTTTAAGTGAATTACAGAAAGGCATCCAATGATTGAGATTCAAAGATACTGATTTGTTAATATTTATAGCACCAAGCGACTGGGCATGCTTTTTAACTGATACATTTTATAGAAAATGAGGGGGGGAGTCACTTTGCTACCACCTTTTTTTAGTATAGTACCTTCTGGACAATTGATAGAGAATGTATTTGGCTAAGACATGCACTTTGTTATTCTTTCATTTGAAAGAAATACCATTTTTTTTAAAGTTTATTTTGTGGGGGAGAGAGAGCGTGAGTACATGAACAGGGGAGGGACAGAGAGAGAGGGAGAGAGTGTCTCAAGCATGCTCTACACTGCCAGCTCAGAGACCGATGTGAGGCTTGATCTCACAAACCATGAGATCATGGCCTGAGCTGAGGCCAAGAGTCAGACGCTTGACCCCCTGAGCCACCCAAGTGCTCCGAAAGAACTGCCATTTTAATTATCTGTAAAATATTGCTAAAATTTATGAGGAAAAATGGGTATACTGAATACTACAAAAACAACTACAGAAAACACTGAGAATTACTTTATATTTCATTACATGTATACAAATACACATGTTTTGTAAATGTTGACATGCTCTAGAAACGACATCAGCAACATAGTAAGTGAAAAAATAATTGTTTATCATTTAATCATGAATTCTTGAAAATGAGAAACTACAATTTCTCACTTTACAACTTTCTGTTACCTCACTCAGGTCTATCATTCATGCTACCTTCCCAATGGGCATACCATGTCATGAATTTATTTTTTTTAATCCTTTTTATTTGATATTTCCCCCTCCTTCTTTTATTTTTGACTTACTGATCATAACAGACACCGTGTTCACATTGGGGTTGAAGGAGCAGCGTCCTTTTCCAGATTCACACTTGGAGTCAATCACGAAAACTTGGTCCTTTATTATAGACAAAGTACAAATGTAGCAATAATAAGTAGCTTTATATTTAGTTAACCAGATTGTTCTTTAATAAACAAAGCATCATCATAAATAATATGCTTTTTATTGGTTTGCCTATGTTTTCTCAATTTACTTTGTTAAGACTTTCTTGGCCTATATGAAGAAATTATAAATTATAAGAAAACTTCAGTAGGTAAAAGTTTTCATTCTACTATAATCCCCGTGAAGCTGATTCAATAAGTTTTCAGATCTGTATCAGCAAAAACCACCTGGGAATCAAGGATCATTGTAAACCTGAACTAGATAGCTTGAACACTGGCCAAAAGAAGAAAATTGTCCATAGAGGAATAATGTATACAAGGATTATAATAGTTCCAAAATAATCAAGACATTTATAAAATACAAAATTTTTATCACCACTTAATTTTGTTACATAAGCATTATACTCGGTTCAACAAAATAATTCATAATTTAGATAAAAACTGTTTTTCACTCATTTAACAAAAATTTATTGAGCATGTTTTTGACTCAACACATATTAAATGAACATCAAAAGTCTGCCATGCACTCTTCAGCCATCATTAGTTGCTTCAGGGCCAGCTTATTAAGCATTTACTATATGCTAGACACCAACAAAACATGAGGAATACAGTAAACCAGACAAAAATCTTCTTCCTCAAGTAATTTATAATATAATGATGGAAAATATGAATATAAAAAGAATACTACACAAAACATAGAATATGTTACATGGTGCTCAGTGGGCAGGACAAAAATTAAGCAGAAAATGGAACTAGCGAAACCCAGGGATGAGAGGTAATAATTCAATTTGAAATATAATGGTCAGCGTAGCCTTACAGAGAGGGAATATTTTGCTTGTATATTTATCTTATTCTTAAATAAAGTCAGTAAAAGCTACTACTAAAATTCAAAGACCAAAGTTTTCACTTTTGTAGGTTGCATGAGATTATGGAGGATCTTAATTATCAAGCTAAGGTTTTTCAAAATTTTCCTGAAAGAAATTCAGTTTCAATATTTTTGAGTATGGAAATGAAAGAATCAAAACACTGGTTAAGAAGATTGGGTCTTACCTTGGTGTTTTAAGAAGATTGAGAAAGGCACTTAATAAAAACAGACACTGGATTAAAGAAAATAGATTTGTTTTCAAGTGCAGTAGTCCAGGAATTAGATAATAATACTCTGACATGCCAGGATCTCAGTGATCATGGTGAGAGGAGTAAAGATGCAAGAGAATTTGTAAAGTAAAAATCAACACAGCTCGGCAATCAATTACCAACTGGATGTGGTTCAAGGAAGAGGAAGAAAACAAAGATGATTCTGAAGTTTTGACCCTTAAAGAAAATAGAACTAGTTCATTTTTGTTACATTGAGTTTGATGTGTTGTCATAATATCACTGACATGATGGGGGAATCATAGAACTTAAAAAAAATCACAGTCCTCTATCCTGGAAAAGTCTTACAGAATGATTTTCTTCAATGAATTAACTCTACAGATGAGGAAAATATAACTTGCACAAGATCATGTAGCTAAATTATGACAAAATTAAAGTTAAAATTCAGTCTCCTGACTCCTCACTATGTCTATTTTCCAAAAAGTCAGTATTTATACAATAACCTTACTTAACAAATAATTGAGGAAAAGCAATGAAGTTTAGTAAAGCCAGCTATGATCAGTTAGCCAGAGATGTACATATATTATACTAAAAAAGTGAGAGTTGGCATTGCAGGAGTTGATGAAATTGCTTAGGTACCACTTGCTCTCCACTGAACGATTTCTTTATTGTACAGCGTCCTCATTCTCACACAGTTATAGTCTAGATCTTGTCATCACCAGAAAGAGTATCGTCCACCAGAATAATCACTAACTCAAGCACATAGCAACAAATCTTCAATTTTATCTCCTTTCCATTTTTTCTCAGTTCATCAGCCTCTGTCTTCCTGACTTTTTTGTTAACCCGTATAGATTCAATGGTATTTATTTTCAATATGTTTTTTGCAGAAATATTAAGTTCGTTGAATCTGTGATTTTTTTCATTGAAACCACAGCCTGGAAGGGCATGTCTACCTGTACATTCTCCATACTTGTTTCCATATATCTAAGTATTTTGCAGAAGGTAGTCCAAAAAGGTAAATTCAACAAAAATAATGATTTTTTGCTCACCAACACAAAATGGATCCTTATACAGCTCAGCAAACTTTCAAGGGCACTAATATCAATTGATTGTTCCATTAATTATTTCAAACCACTATCACTATAGACAAATCTATTAACTATTGATTGATCATATAATTACAGATTAAGTGAAGCCTTTAAATGAGATGTCTTTAACTTCTTACTACCAAACACATAAATACACATACACTAATACATGCATTAGCACATTCTTGTTCCCACCTCTCTACTTCTCTGACTGTTTCTTCTTAGTCATGTTTGAAGGTCCCCCATCTTGCCCCATCTTGCCCTTAAATTAAGAAACCCTCAAGTCTCAAGCATAATCACTCTTCTTTTTTCACACAGTACTCTGCATGATTAAACCCTTGCATTTCCTGGGCTTCAGTTATTCTAATAAAACAACAACTCAAACATTTATATAGCCAAGTTTATATTCAACTGCCTACTTGACATTTCTACTTGGATCTTTCAACAGCAACTCAGACTCAAGAGAACCCAACCCAGGCTTAAAACCTTAACCTCAAACATGATTTTCTTTGTTCTCTCTCATCTCAGTTCATGACAACTATATAACTAAAGAAGCCAAAAACCAAAAATGAAAAACAAACAACAAAAATGTCAATACCTGTATCATTGTAAATTTCCTTTTATATAGCCAAATCCACCACTGTCAACTACACCATCTTACACTTTGTGCTTATCTTTCTGTCTTTATTGCCCCTCCCCTGAGTATAATAATTTCTTTCTTGGCCTATTATATCCATTCTCTAACTGATCTCACCACAGCCCTGTCAACCCCTCCCTACCCTCAGTCATTTATAATACAATACACAGTGACAACACAATGCTTTCCTTGCCATTTTCTGCTTAAGATCATTCCAGCTGCTTCTCCTTTGACACAAGATAAAGATCAATATCTTAAAGGTAGCTTACAAGTTCTAATATAATTTTGTGTCAGTCATTCATTAAATAAATACTTATTTGTAGATTGAATCAATAAAAGAGAAATAAATAGGACCAGAAAGAGAGTAAGTGGTGAAAAATTAGGAAAGAAGGCATGGGAAAACGTTTCATGGTTATAGATAATAAAGGCATTGAAAAATAGGGGGCATGGCCAACATGTTATAGATCAGTCAAGGAAAAAGGATGCAGATTAAGGGAATTAATTTGATCACTGAGGACTCTTGGCCACTAGAAAATAGTTTTAGTTTATAGGTAGTAATGAATGTCAGATCAGAAAGGTTTAATAATGATATGAAAAACAGAAATGTAAAACAGAAAATATAGCCTACTAGTCTGAGAAGTTTTGTGATCAGTAAAAGAGGGAAAAAAGAAGTTGAAAAAAGTCACAGACCCAAGATAATGATTTAAGGAAAAGAAACATGATCCTATTTTTAAACAGGAAAAAAAAGTAAATGCAAGAGAAAGGAAATGAAGATATAAAACAGTAATAAAGGTTATTGATAAAAGCACTTTATTGAGAAGGAAAATGGACAACTTTTTTTCTGAGAAAAGGAAAGCTACAAAAAGACACATAAGCAGAAAAGTTTGGTGACTAATTTGCTTCAAATGGCACAGGGAATGATTTGAATGCCTGTGTTATGCTTGGTCATTCAAAGGTAAGGTTATCTGCTTAATGACTGGCAGAGTCAGAGGCTTAAATGGTATTCAACTGCTGGAACCAATGTATGGAGACATCTTATAAAATCAATGAAAAATGAGATGTAGGAATAGTCCATGAATGTGTAGTGAAATTAACACACTATTTATTTTTGTTAATGTTTTATTCATTATTTCAAGTCATTATTTACTTGTGTTGCTTTATCTTTTTCCAGGAACAGAAGACAGGGGATGAAGACGGCGGACAGAAGAGAAGAACCGTGGTTAGGAATTGGTGTAGCAAGGACTGCAGGCATTTTGGATGGGCATCACTGAAATGTTCTAGGAAAGCTCTGAATCAGTCTCAGAGAATAATGGGAGACTCATAGGATATAATGAAAGTGTGTGATGTTCCAAATGTGGAGTAGCCTCAGAAAATGCTCTCTGAGAAAAAAATGAATGACTATTTGACAGATAGATAGAAGGTGGTCGATAGTATCTAAGAAATGAAACTGAATAAGTAATGATTATGTGACCCTAATTTGGTTCACTGTCAAACTGGTTGTAAATACAGGAAAAATACCATATCTCAGTATCAGCACATGGTGTTACTAGTAAGTACTATCTCTGGTCATTATAAAATGCAATGATAGTGATGCATAAGAAGGAAAATTCTCTCAAAATACAACCTCTCTGTATCATGTCTTCATTTTACACTAGGGGATCTTTTATCCTAAACTAAAGAAAATAAATACAGGAGATGTTTGATAAACTACATAGTCTATATTTCTGTTACTGTTTACATACTATAGATACATAAAAATGATGTTATGGTAAAACCCTTTGACTTGAACTGACTGCATACAAAGCTTAAAATTCATAACTCTTTTCATACTTACATTGGCACTTAAGATGTTCACATATTGTTTTAAGAGATTAATTAATGGAAATGCTTCCCCCTTGAAATATATCTTTTGAAGTGAGACTAAAGTAGTTCATATATTTAGTAAAGTGATTAAATTTTATTCCATGCTGGTTTTCCAAAGGAGATTATTTTTTGGACCGACTTTCCAATTAAGCCTTGAAGTGCATAGTGGGCAATTTGTACATGGGAAAATGATTTTATTTGAAATCTGTGCTCTAAAAACTGCTATGCTATTGTTGGCGAGTACAGTGAGTGCACAGCCTTCAGTGGCGTGTCTGACAGATGGCAGACGTCTGGGGCAGTAGTTTATTTAATCAATTGATCACAGGCATGTGGTTCTAATGACAAGTTCAATGTAGCCAACGTACTTTTCCAAGAGGCATAGTTCTACTTTTCTTTAAGAATTGTAATATTTCGTATCATCTTGAACCACTTGGAAATGCCTCATTTGGGGGTCAACTTGTAACCACTCAGTTATGTTTAAATGACTTTTTATTTACCAAAAGATATGTATGTATAAATTACATGTCCGAAAAAAATTTAATAATAAAGTAATATAAAGAGAATCATTATTCAATTATATTTGTACTAAAGTAGATTAATCTTTGTTAAGGGAGAATAAACTTAATAAGATATAGCAGTAGCAACATTTAATTTTTTTAACAGTTCTAATCTCTAAAATTGAATTAATATATAAGAACTGGACATTCTAGATTTAAGTTGCATAATGGAAACAAAGCAAGATAATTTGAAATAATTAAGTTTTTTAAATGCTTACATTTGTTAAAACAACATGTTTGACTAAAAGAAGAAGAAAAAACTCTTTGGTCTAATGCATACTTTTCTTAAGTCAATAATTTTAAACTGGGACAAACACGGTTTAAATCTCATAGGTGAAGTTCAACCAGCTTGTATTTATCTATACATTAGGTATACATTTAGTGTTTAGCAAATGTTTTTGTTCAAAGAACCCCAAGTCATTTTAACTAATGTAGGAAAAAGGATAGAAAAGCCTAGTGTAGACTAATGTTTGTCTAAAATCAAAGTATGACCTATTAATTATAGAAACTTCTTTTCAGCAAAGGCACCTGGCATCCTGCTTTATATATCTCTTACAGGTATCTCATAAAAGTTTACCAAGTTTGAAAGTTAAATAAAAAATTACTTAAAATAGGTTTAAGAAAGTGAGTTTATACTACAATATTTCTATAATTTGGAATAAGCATTTTTGATACCTTCCTTTCTAAATAATTATAAAATTACATCACTTTTATTTCCTTTGTCTCTTGCAGATTTTTATTCAGAAGTTATATAAAACAGCTACACTCTAAGTACCTTGGGGGACAGTAACCAAATGGAATATATTTAGCGTTAAAAGGGCTTGAAGGTTTTTAATGGCTATTGATGATAATTCCAAGTTTTTACTCTCAAATACAGTTTTAAGAAATCTTTGAAACTCACACCATAACTAAACATGAAAAACTTTTACACTTACCTCTGATCTTCTCCCTCTATTCAAATAAGTACACACTGGGCTGAAAGCCCCACTGCCACAAACGTACAAGTGAGTGCGGTTGAAAGCTTGAATTACACGGACGAAGTTCCCACAGCCATGCTAAAAGAGTAGGTGAATAAGCAGTTAGTAATAAAGGACTTTTATTGCTATTTCTAAGTAGTCCTGTCATACTTTGCTATATATTTTCCTTTCTGCTCTAACTTTTTTGTTGTTGTTAGGAGATAACAAGAGAACAACATGGTTTATTTTATTGGTTTACTTCAGCAAGAAGGTAGTTCAACTTAATGAGTAAAATGGCATATCTGTCTCATATTCCAATAGTTTATATACTGTGTAAGTTTTTATGTTCTGAAACTTTATGAGCTTACTCTTTACCTGAAAAAATTGAGAAATTGAAAAGTACACCAAATTGTTTCCTCAAATTTTCATCAATATGTTATACACACACACACATATCATAAACATGTTTTTAATGAAATTGTGCTTATACAAGGTCCATATCATCGTGAGTACACAATGGCAAACACTATTAGCTTTTAGAGGTGGTGAATGAAACAAGCCATAAACAAAATGCCAGCACTGTGATGCAATTATTACCTCTCTGCCCTTCATCCCCTAAAATACCTTCTTCCCTAGTCTTCTTTCTCACCTGCTCCTACTCCAACCATTGGAAATGTTGTCATTGATTCACTCAATGAAATGCAAAATAATTATTGTAATTATAAGTTGACTATGACCTTGCACAAGTATATAAACACAGTCTGCACCAAAGGCAGATCCCTGTGACTGAAGTAATCATTGCATGTCTATATTGCTATGTTCACTAGACTTTGCTGACTACAAATTAATCAAGCCTGAAACTGAATTTTGTTTTCTTTGCATTTTTTTCACAAAGAACACCATTAAAAATGTTATAGATTATAAAATTTTTTTATAAATATATTAAAAGTTAACACTGGTTTTCCCATGGGTGGTCAGACAACATATATTTCTTTTTTCTCTTCCAGGTACCATATTATTAATTTTTTTAATGCACATCTATTATTTGAAAAGTAAAAAAAAAAAAAAAAAACAATTCTGTTAAAGTAGAAGTTAAAGATTTTAGAAGTTAAATTTAAAGTCAATATTATTTTACATTTTCTCAAAATTTTCTCCTTTTATGTAAGTACTTGCCAGCCTTTATATATGCTTAATTTTTATGTAGTAATTTTATACATATGTTTCTATTATGGATCTTATTATGAAATAATCAATCATTAACTCAGTTGCCAAAGAAATTAATCCTTAAAGACCAGACTATACACCTATTTTTATTTTAAGACATTAAGAATTTTTGTTACATAGATAGTATCACTGTATCTTGACACCTGTTTATAGAGCTACTTGGAAATTGACTATGTAACTGCAGATGATAATGTGTTTCTCTGTAGAAAAAGAATAGATGAAGTATGGTGTGTATATAACATGTCTACATTAGGGATATCAGTGAGCAATGAGCCTTGTGTTTACTTTTTTCACATCCAAGTTTAGTTATTCTAGGATTCTGTATATACTATTTTCCCATAAGACATGAATCCAATTCAATTCTATTAATAACAGATTATATGTCCTCTTGAGTTTTGTAGACAGTTTACTATCATGAATGATTGGTATTGATAAAAAAGAAGGATGACACTAATATGTTTTATATTTCAAGTACAGATTATACTTGTTTCATGTATATTTCTATATACATATTATACTTACTTATTATAGCCGATATCTGTTGATAATTTATTATGTTCTAGACATTGGAATGATCATTTTATATACTTAACCTGTTTTTACTTCCCAGGACATTTTATTTTTACCTTTATAGCTCATATTTATTGAGAGTACTTTATGCCACTTGGGCATTTAACATTCATTGAATTTGTACAAGTCCTTTTAGAAAAATGAAGCTTAGAGCTTTTTTAGTTAACTTGCTTAATGCCATTGATCTAGAAACAAGTAAAACAGATTTTCAAACACAAATATGTCTAACATTAAATCTTGTACTTTTGGGGGTGCCTGGGTGGCTCAGTCAGTTAAGCATCCAACTTCAGCTCAGGTCATGATCTTGTGGCTCATGAGTTCGAGCCCCGCATTGGGTTCTGTGCTGACAGCTCAGAGCCTGGAGCCTGCTTTGGATTCTGTGTCTCCCTCTCTCTGTGCCCCTCCCCCACTTGAATTCTATCTCTTTCTCTCTCTCTCTCTCTCTCTCTCAAAAGTAAATTAAAAATTTACATATTTAGAAGAATCTTTAAAAAAATCTTGTACTTTTAATCACTTTGTATTTTGTCTTTGGGTGAGGAATCCACACTTGGTAGAGTGGAGTTTTTACAAGTTATTGATATTTACAGAGCTCTTAAGCCTTTGATATTAATTGTTTTTTAATCCTCAAAGCAATGTTCCAATTAAAGTATTAGTTCCATTTTATTGATAAGGAAATTGAGTCCCAAAAAGGTTAAATGAAGTGCTCTAAGTTTTATTAAGTGACTGAGCTGTGTCTTGAACCATGGCTAGCCTCCAACATCCAGCTTTTCTAAAGAAAGGGGTTGAGGGATGCCTGGGTGGCTCAGTCGGTTGAGTGTCCGACTTTGGCTCAGGTCATGATCTCACGGTTCGTGGATTCAAGCCCCGCGTCGGGCTCTGTGCTGACAGCTCAGAGCCTGGAGCCTGCTTCAGATTCTGTGACTCCCTCTCTCTCTCTCTCTCTGCTCCTTCCCTGCTCACACGCTCTCTCTCAAAAATAAATAAAGATTAAAAAAAAAAGAAAAGAAAAGAAAAGAAAGGGGTTGAGGGGTACCTGGGTGGCTCAGTCGGTTAAGCATCTGGCTCTTGATTTCAGTTCAGGTCATGATCTCATGGTTCACGAGATAGAGCCCCATGTCAGGCTCTGCACTGACAGCAGGGAGCCTGCCTGGGATTCTCTCTCTCTCTCTGCCCCACCCCTGCTTGTGCTCTCTCTTTCTCTCTCTCTCTCTCAAAATGAATAAATAAATATAAAAAAAAATTAAAGAAAGGGGTTGATTAACCATGAGACAGATTTTCAGACTACCTGATGATGCTCAGTGTGCCCCACCAACGTTCCCCAGAGAGATAAACACAAAGGAAAAAAAAAAAAGCAAGTTAATTACTGAAAATCATTTTCTAGTTACTTTCCATTTCCATAGTTTCTGTCCACGTTATTTCTGATTTAGACCATAGCAACCATATCATTCTTATCCAGCAAATACTTACTGAACTCATTCTATAATTTGCATATCGTGTCAACGACACTGAAATGAATAGATTCATCCTTTCAGACGAAGGAAGCCATGATACATCAGGCTTAGTAGATACTATAGCAGAGTTACACTTTTTAAAAATGTGCTATAGGAGGAAAGAATCCGAGAGAATGAGTAATGCTGACCTGGATGTAAAGGGTTTGAGAAGGGGGTGTCATTTTAGCTGGAACTTGAAGAATAAGCAGAGATTTTGATAGGCCAAAGCATAAGGAAAGAGCATTCCAAAAGAAAGTAGAGCATAAACAAAATAATGGAGGCATGACAGAGCAGGATTTACTTTGAAAGTGGTGCCTAGAGGGGATAGTGAATTACTGTGTGATGAAACCAGAGAGGCAATTAGAGTTGGCCTGTCATCATACCACAGTCTTCAGATGGGAAGTAGACAGTGGATTCAAGTGTATAAAGTTCAGAGCTAACTGACCTAGGTCAAACTTCAGCTTTACCTTTCAGTGGCTGTTTGAACTTGAGACATTTACTTAGCTTCTCTGTGTTTCAGTCTTTTTATCTGTAAATGGTGATGATTACATTTGTTGTCAGCAATATACTAATAAGCTCGTGGAATAGTGTCTGGCACATAATAAATATGCACAGTGTCAGATATTGGACTCTTTCATATGTATTTTTTATTTCAGTTGTTAGGACAAATCCGGTGAAGTGGACAGGGCATTTGTCCTGCACAGAGCTTAGTATAGGTTCTGATCGTAGCAGACATCTATGAAAGGTTTAGAGAATGAGCCTTCAGTGCAGTTCAATACCGTGGATGCTTTTTTAAAAAATTCCTTTTCAAAACTATTTCCTGGTACAATGCTGTATGAAGTATAACGGTGTTAACATTATGTAGAACATAATACCATTGTATTTATATACCTATATATTTCAAACAATAAAATGCTGAAAAAGTATACCCCGAATCTTTTAAAAATGTTTATTTATTTTTGAGAGAGAGAGAGAGAGAGAGAGAGAGAGCATAAGCACACACATGAGTCTGGGAAGGGCAGAGGGACAGGGAGACAGAGAATCCCAAGTAGGCTCCTAGGCTGTCAACACAGAGCCCCACAAGGGGCTTGATCTCCTAGATTGTGAGATCATGACCTGAGCTGAAACCAAGAGTTAACCACTTATCCGACCATGCAACTCAGGCACCCCTACACCCAATTTTTAAGTTGTTACATTTTGATAGTGGAATTTTTTAATTTATGTACTAGTAATATACCACTTACTATGCTCTATATACTATTCTAAGCTCTCTTCAAATATTAACTCATTAAACATCATAATAACAACTCATAGGTACTATAAGAATGCCCATTATGCAGACAAGAAAACTGAGGCACAGTGAGGTTAAGTCTACAGGGTCAAAGAGATACGAAGAGATGGTTTTCTATTGCTGTTTACATGCTTTTCTAGGCCTTCAAACATTTCTGCATTGAACATATATTTGTTATAATATTTTTAACATAAATGTTTTTGAAAATGTATCCTGGAACACAGACGTGGACTTTAAAAATATTGACTCTTCATGGCCCATACTATGCAATGGAGGAAAAAAATCCCTCTTATTCTTTTCTTCTTGGCCTACACTTCTTTGGTCTAGACAATAAATCAAGATATATGATAAATGTATTTCTTTTAAAATTTTTAATGTTTATTTATTTTTGAGAGAGACAGAGACAGAGCAGAGAGAGGGAGACACAGAGCTCGAAGCAGGCTCCAGGCTCTGAGCTGTCAGCACAGAGACCGACGTGGGGTTCAAACCCATGAACTGTGAGATCATGACCTGAACTGAAGTCGGCACTTAGCTAACTGAGCCACCCAAGTGCCCTGATAAATATATTTCTAAAGAAAATAGATTTTCCAGTAGTTCGGGATCCTTTGGTCACATAAATATGGAAACTGACACTCTACAATTAATAAAAAAAGTTTGACATTGTGTGCATGTAACTCACATATGTCTAAATATATGTAATCCTGCTTAAATTTTTAACAATCTCTTACAGTATTTACTTAGTGCATTCATTATGCCCTATCTCATTGGATATGTCTGACAGCACGTGCTACTGTTTAAGCTCAATTTATTTAGAGTATGAATAAATTATTAACATTTAGAAATAAATGGAGCATGTAGGAGTGAATACATATAGGCCCAGAGGGAAATGGGAGGCAGGTTATAGTCTTTTAGCTAGGCAGAAAATTAGTTCTATTCCCACTAGGAAAATGTATTTTCTTTATAAACCTTAGTTTATGATAATATTATGATATTTTATTTCTGGGATCAAACTTTAGCTTCTCTTGAATTATTGTCTAATAATTAAGTGTTATTTTTTCTAGCTTTAATTAAAATTTGGTATGTTAAAAAATCTAAAGGAATAAGTGATACTTGATTCCATGGTGTATATTTTCTTTCAGTTGCTAAAGCGGTATGGCTTTTAATTGTCAACTAGTTTAAGTTTTGCCTAGTAGATGATTACTATAATATTTAAAATAAAAATATTTTAATTTAACCAAAATGAACTTCTAAAATAAGTGCATAATGAATTTATTAGAAACATTATTAATTGAAGGGCACAAATGCACTCATCATCCACCATGTCCTACCTCTAACTCCCGACAATCACTTAAAACAAATTCCCAGGCTTGTTTGTTTCTATCTCCACTTTTTCAGATCTTGTTTAAATTTTATTAAGTGTCTAGATAAAGATCTGAGCACAGAGAATAATGACACTACACAGTATTTCCAATCAGTGAGTGGAGGGTTATAGTTAAAAATGCAGTGAAATATATGACAGTGTTTCAGGCATACACACAATAACAGCTAGCCCAGTCCTGGGTGGGCAGAGAAGACTTCCCAGAGAACTGACATCTGCACTGTCACTTGAGAGGAGGAACAGATGATTTCCAGGCTAAAAAGATGGGAAGATAATTGAACAAGGAGAGAGTCACATGTGATTTGTGCCAAAGGCGGAAAGAGGAAAAGGGTATAACTTATTTGAATTTCAGTATCACTAAAATAAAATAAAGAGAAAGGTTAACATAGACCCAACACAGTTGCCATCGAGTCTATCAAATCTTCCCCAAATATCCCAACTTTAGTGTGTTTTTTCTTTGTATTTTGTGTGTATACTTAGCATTTAGCAAACTCTTCCTGGTGAAATGGCATGCATTATCAGATAAGAGTTCAGGATCCAGAGCCAAAATGTGCCTGAGCCAGGCAGTGGCCTCCTTCCCACTTGCTAGCAGGGCAGGTTTGGTAAGTTCCTCACTCTCTTAGTGAGGTCTCTTGATCTTAAAAATGTGAACGGTGACAATAATGTCCATCTTGTAGCATTGTTGTGAGGATTAAAAGAAAGCCTTAGAACAGTGCCTGGCTCACTCTATTAAATGTTGGCTACTATTATTTGATAGTTATTGCATATATGTTTCATCATCTCTAGTATATTGTAAACACACCTAAAGGTAGATGCTCTACTTTGGTTTCTTCACAATGGCTAACTGATTTCTACAAAATAAAATATTCAATTCCTCTGTTTTTAAATAAAATATTATTAGGTATTTATTGTAACAGAATTAATATTAATTCTTAAATATTTAGTTTTATTAAAGAATGTAATAAAAATGTCATGCTCTAGAATTGTAAAGACTGATTTAGCATCACTTTTCTACCACTGGTCTTTTTTTTGTGGCCTGATTAAAAGACACTTCTCTATAAGTATTTCACATGTATGAAATGAGTTAGATTCTCTTCTCCTGCACAGACAAAACATGTATTTGATAGAGTTAGGCTGATTATTTCTCAGGACCCAACAATGTTGGCTGTACTGGAAGAGAATTCTTCACCAGTTACTTCTGTTATGTATACTACTTTGCAGTATAGCAGAATTTAAAGATATCCATGAACGATATTACAACATGAGTAAACTATGGGAAAATGTAAGCATGTATTGAAGATTTCATCTAATGACTCTTAATTATAAGAAAGCAAATGACAGAGCATTTTTATTTTGCCAAAGGGAGAAAGACATCAAATGATTTGGCTGAGATTCTTCACAAAAGCAACAGCAATCTTTGGAAAGAGAATGTGCAATGGTATCTAAATCCAACATATCCTGTCTTTGACAGTTCGTTTGAATGGGAAATGAAAATCTTTTTGAACAAAGAGGACAATTAAATTCAGTAATTACAGCCACAGGATATTACTATGGCAAAGGGCAAGACATGATAGGATCCATAAGAATGGCTAAAAACTTTATTTTAGGGAGATTAAAATGTTAGAGAATAAAAAAAATATTTAAATTCATGCATAATTATAGAAATAATAGCTTCATGAGACCAAAAAAAAAAAAAAAAAAAAAAAAAAAAAAAAAAAAAAAAAAAAAAGACTTCTCCACAACATTATACTTCACTGTACTACTGGTTCCCTAGAAGACAAGTATACACATTTCTCCGGATTTTTTCCTGTAGACTATGGCCCAGCAGATCTTGTGGGTAGCAAATATGCCTATGCAACTCCTTCAGCCCATTTTTAAATTTCCCTTAAAAGATCAGTTATAAAACCGAAAAAGCGAGACCCAGAGCTAAGTCACTCCCAGTGAGTTCTCTCAACAACACCCTCCAGTGAGACCCAGAGATACTACATGTCAGAGTCTTCCCTGACTCTGTCTCGCACCAGAAGTTTTCCGAACCTCATACCGGGACTGTTGAGAGTCAGTTAAGATAAAATTTTAATTCCCATGCTTCCTTTTCCCACAAGAATTAGTTTTTTCCTTGAGCCACCATGATGAATCTCTGAAACCCTCACTCTCAAGGCTCAGTGCATAGACTGAGCCGCTGAAATCAGCATTTCTTATCTCTACACTTACAATAAGTGCTTAGTCAACATTTTTCACACTAGCTCAAGGTCATATTTCTTTCTTTTTAAATTTTTTTTAATGTTTATTTATTCTTTGAGAGAGAGAGAGAGAGAGAGAGAGAGAGAGCATGAGCAGGGGAGGGGCAGAGAGAGAGGGAGACACAGAATCTGAAGCAGGCTTCAGGCTCCGTCTGAGCTGTCAGCACAGAGCCCAACATGGGGCTTGAACTCACAGACCGTGAGTGAGATCATGACCTGAGCCAAAGTCAGTCACTCAACCAACTGAGCCACCCAGGCACCCCTCAAGGTCATATTTCTTTAGACCTCAGATTTCATTGTGTGTATGTGTGTGTACAAGTACTAGTTTTTCTATCCAACTGCCATATTTATTTATTTATTTTTTTTTCCAACTGCCATATTTAAATTGCATACCTGCATAAGCACATATCTCTATGCTCATTTGATTAACGTTGACTTCTCCAATAGATAATAAAGTTGAGAAAAGTCAGATTGTGCCTATTGTGGCACAAATTATGTCTGTAGCAATTAATACTATGCCAGACACATAATAGGGGCTCAATCAATATTGGTTGAATGAATGAGTGAAAGAGTGAATAAATGCATAAAAAACTTCTCTACCAAATTACTTGTAAAAGAGTGGGTAATTCTGATATATGGTTCCATTATGATATTTTCTGTGATTTGAGACAAGAAGATAAGATGACATACATGTTTCTTTATAAAATTAAATAACATATACATTATAGATCTGCTCCATGTATTTATAATATTCAAGAATCAGTTAGTATGTCAGTTTCAGCAGATTGTTTGTAGAAATCCATACAGATTTATTTCTTAACTCTTTACATGGAATTCCACTTAAAGGTATACAATTTGTACAAATGTTGCATACTGAACATTTAATTGATGTTCATATCTGCCTTGGTTTTTGTTTCTGTGGTTATTTTTAACTAACAAAGATACCACTAATCATTGGTGATTTACGCCTCTGGAATGTGCCAGCTCACCAGTACCCTTTTGCTGAGATCTTTCTTTGGAAAAGCCCACATGGTATCTGGGAGCTTCTCCAGACACTTGCATTATCATTATTTCAGCGGCCTGCTGAGAATTCTGCAGGTTGGATACACTGGAACAGAGGTTATTGCTGAAATCCATCATGAAAAGTGTCAGAATGCAATAATGGAAGCAATGCAAAAAATTTTTACCCGGTCAGGAATTCCTAAGTTACAGTGTTTAAGAGTTCCAACTTCTTTACATTTACATTTTTTGCCATGCGTCCAGCAGAAGATTTAAAACACCAACACCCTTTGTCTTACTCTTGGCTGCACTCAAGGTACATGGATTCAAAGACCAAATATTTAAGTTTTGGGTTTTTTTTAGGCACTCACTGTGGGATCTTTGCCAGCCATTTTGCACTCTTCGACTTTGATTGTAGATGCTGGCCAGAAAACCTGCTCAGAAAGGAAAATAAAGGTTGCATAATCTCACTTGTATATATGACAGTCATCATTTACTTTATCCTAACACATTTCTTTTAGGCATTTCTATATTTATATTTCAAGATCTTTCTTCCAGTTTATGAACTCAAATTCCTAAAGATTTTATGACTCCCACCAATTTTCCTTTAACAAATGCCTTTCAATAGTATATGCCCATTTCCTAATGATATATATTAAAATAAGGTCACTAATGTATACAATAAAAGGTGTATTTCCTTCCTTCTATAGTACACTTTTCTCAACTGTTTATATCACAATGAATTTACACTTATATTGCTATTTTGGTTTAATATTGTTATTGGTAAACCACACAGCCACAGCAGTAGATTTACTTAAAACAGGTCTCTAGGTACTTCAATAGCTAAAATAACTTGGACTGCATCCAAGAGATTCCCTCTCTAAAATACTCTGCTAGTGTTCTCAGTAACTGTACCCTTGGGTCAAGTCTCTGATGGTGATGATTATTGTTTTGTTTTGTTTTGTTTTGAATTTCCAGCTCATTGACCCTTGCTAAAATAATAAATTCAGAAATCTTGTGACAAATTTTTAAAAAATTATTTTTTTATTTTTTTTACTCCAATAAAGATAAATTTATTTCCTTATTGTGAAATAGAATGATAAATATAGGTCACACTTGTTCAAACAGTGTCCTTAATAACTATATTCCTTTTAATTCCTTTAAGCCTTGTTGGATTACATACAGATGACAAGGTAGATCTTCCTTTAGTCTGATCATTTTGTCAGGCTATACTTCATGTTTCTCTCTCTCTGTCTCTCTCTCTCTCTCTCTCTCTCCACACACACACACACACACACACACACACACACACACACACAAATACACACAGGAAGTATTTCTTCATTTAGCTTCAGTTTTTAGAGTGTTAAAATCTATGAAGCTAGACAGACAGAACTGACTTGATTATATTTTCAGTCCATGAAAGAAGCACTAACATCCAATTATTTATTGACATGTGGCCAGTATTTTCTATAGTTCTAATGAAATACACAATTTTTTCATTGTATGTGAAATTTTTAAATAAAACAAAGTCGACATGGCCCTAATGAAAATAATTAACTTACACTCAAAGGTTCTTGACTTATATTGTTAATATTCAAGGAAAGAATGTGATCTTTGCTGCCCACATATATCCGGTCCTGATCTTCATCCATTAATAATATCCTGTAGTCTAAAGGATGGTGGGACAGGCTGAAGTGTTCAGAGGTCTTGGTTTCTCGAAGCTCTGAAATAGTGAACAGCACAGTGGAAATAGAGTATCCTGGTTCTATGATTCTATTATTTTAATGGAAATTATTTTATATAAATATTTACTAAGAAAGTTAAGATCTATTTTCCTCCCTACAATAATATATTAATTTTAAAATAGAATTGTGTTAGTGGATATTTTTATTTTTTGCCTCTTTGCTGAAGTAAAACATAAATAAAGCAATAAATGCAATGCCAAATTTTATGGTAATACTATTTTATTGCAAAATTATTCACATTTTGCAAGAATCCCAACTCAGTTTTATTACTGGCTATCATCAGCTCAAAAGTAAAAGAGATCAAACAAAAAAATATAGTAAGTGAGCAGACTGAGCAAAAAACCAAAAAACAAAAGCAAAAGCATTGACAATGTGATGTCTTCTTAGCTTCTCTTGATGTTTTATGGTTGTACTCAATACATTTATCATTTTAGGATTGGTATTTCCTGCTTACTCAACATAATTCTAACTAGTTTGATATTTTTTTCTATAAATTATGTGAAAACAAGCCATACCTCATTCAGAAGGCAATGCTGTTTAAATGAGACTATGCCTATGCCTATATCAAAAAGAAAATTACAAATATTCAGATGATCTGAATTTTTAGATTTTTTACCTCAGTGATCACTGACTCATTCATGCTCATTTAACTTCTTTTACATTATGGGTAAAACATGTGCCTGTATAGGTGAACTTTGAAGACTATGGATGTACCATGAAAATTTAAAAATCAATAGTCATTATAGCAGAATCAATTTTCTTCCAGTCAAAATGCTTCATTGTACAATTTAAGACTTTCCCATTCATTTTTTCAGTTTTAAATTGTTGATAAATTTGAACCATCCAAACGATTCAGGATTGATTTTTTCTTGGGATTATGATCATAAGAGAGTGACAACTCTAGAAAGCAGTTTGCTTGCACATTTTACTCTTTCAATGATGTACTATTTCTAAATTTTAGACATTGAATCACAAATACACTTCTAGAAATTCCCAATAGCACCTTCTAATAAGAGTTCCCAAGAAAATCAACTGAATTATTACATGTAAATGTTTGAATTTAATGAAGAGAAAGTAGTCAATAAATTCTAATATTATTACTGTTAGTATTAGTATAGTATTATCAATTTGAATCGCTATCAAAAAGATGTATGGAATTAGAACAAATAGGTACACGTTTTTCTATTTTTCTCTTTTTCTTTTAATTTAAGGAACTAGACCCCTAAAATTACTAACACATGATCACAAAACATAGTCTCTGATGCTGCGTCCATACATTGAGAGTAAAGTGTAGATTTTTTTTCTATGTGGAGAAAAACCATTAAGAAGTTATAAAAATACTTCAGAAGAGTATTGAGAAGTAAATCATGAGAGAAGATAAGAACAAAAGACATTGAAAGATGATTTAAACAAGAGACTAGATGACAGATCTGGAAACAGGAGATTTGAGATGCTGAGCGCTGTGTGGCGTGCTAACCTAGTTACAATTCTAAGTTACTGAGCCTCAGTAGGTCTCAAAGACAGACAGGTGATGCTGTTGGCAGCAGTGGTGCCACTGGCCCAGAAACTGGAACAACTTCTTTCATGAGGAGAGCAAGGAAGAGTAGAGGGATGTCATTCAGGAAAAAAGTCAGCCCCTCAGAGTGGCCAAAATGAACAAATCAGGAGACTATAGATGCTGGAGAGGATGTGGAGAAACGGGAACC